GAGAATTAGAATTAATAATGATGCAAGAAGATCAAGCTCTACAATTAAAATATAAGTTGACACCGATTACTGAATTTTGGAAATTTGTACCAGAATCAAAGTTTCCTGAATTAAAAAAGGCTGCTTGTCAAATTATTTCAATATTCGGAACAACATACTTATGTGAATCATTTTATTCCACTTTAAAATTCATGAAATCCAAACACTGATCAGTACTAACTAACCAGCATCTCAAAGAATTACTGAGAAGTGCTGTCACCAATTATTCACCAGATTTTAAAGAATTATCAAAAGAAGTAAAATAAATGTGTTTAAATTTTTAATATTTAAATTCAATACACACATTTTGCACTTATGTGTTTTCAATAAATATAATTTCTGTAAAAAAATTTTAATACTTTTTTGCATACCTTTTAAATATGTATTTAATTGCGGCTCGTGAAAAATGGCTTGGACTACCAAGGAGCTTGGCCACCTCTGCTATATATGAACCAAGTTCCTGACTAAGGTTATGTGATGTGACTGTATGACTTCACAAGACAGAGAGGGCAACATGTCTGCCCTCTTGGGCGTTAGTGCTGGGGCCAATAAAATCCTGTATAGTGTCCAGTATGGCCCTCATAGATCCATCAATTCCGTCATGGGATCTCAATTAACACAAGCTACAATATTGCAGAATGATGAATTATTGTCCGAATAGACCATAATCCCACCATAGTCAAATTCTGGCTTATGCTGGTAAGCTTAAGAGTTTCTTTTTCTGACACAAGACATAACAAAACCATTAGGCAAAGGACTAGCATTCAAATGTGGTTTCTAAATAAGAAACCCAGTGTCCAATCTTCCCATTTATATGTAATATAAATGATGTTATTCATACCTGCTTTAGGCACATGTACTGGAATGCTAATTATTTGCATATCTCAGCATATAAAACTTTTCAAGCAAATTTGATGCTTGTTGCATGTAGCCTTCATGGTGTAGCAATTGAAATCACAGCAGTGTGTTCAACATCTGCAATACACCAACTGTTTGCGCATTATTCAACTGCCTTTGAAGTTAAATAATAGAGAATCTATTTAAAATTCATCTTTTTTTAATCTGTATTCTTCTGTTATCTAACTTTAAAATTTAGAATTTATAATCTTCTGTTATCTAACTTTTAAATAATAGAAGAAATCTCATAAGTTGACTTACGAGATTTTTATAGTATAGCCATATTTCAATATGAGCAATTCGAACAAGTCAAAACTTTCAAAATAATAATAATAATCTCTCATGTCTGAAAACTTGATTTAATGATATTTATTCTTATCTTATTGAATGTAGTAATAAAACAATGCCCAGACAATTTTTAGGGAACAATAATGAATTATTAATTTTCATGTTGTAAAGTTTAGAGATTTAAAGAGGAATTTTAATACAACATTTTTTATAAACTTTTCTTTCAAATGTCTTGTCTATTTATAAAAAATAATTTTCGCTTACAAAATCTTTTGCAGTGAAATGGGCTTTTATTTTTAGAAAATGGATTGTGAGGCTATTTTAGGGTATTTAAATGAAGCATAGGATAAAAAAATTGTTTAAAATTTTCAATTTTTCGAGGATTTTATTTTGAAAATAAGTCAAAGGAAAGAATGGACTTATTTTTTATTCATTTAAAACTTAAAGAATTTTTTTAAATAGAAATTTAGAGAATTTCACTTTTTTAATTATGTAAATGGATTATTCAAAAAGATATCTGTAATTATCATATTTGTAATTATTTCCTTTTGAAAATATATTTTATGTAATGTATTTACCATATTTTCTAACATATTTCTCCTTTAGCACAGAATTATAAAATTTTCGTTTTATAATAACTATTATACAGTGTATGGTTAATAGCAAAATACAGTGGGGAAAGGGAAAAAGTAAAGGCAATTGCTGCAATTAACTTTTTTGAAATATGTATAAAATGTAGTAATATTATAATGTCTATTTATATGGCCTTTTTTATGTGTCGAGTTCTTCTCATACCAGAAATGAGATATACAGCTGAATTTTTGTTTCTTGATTTTCAGGCAGCAAAATTAGTGAGAAAGTGGGAGAAATATGAAACTAAATACTTTATACAGTACACTCCCGATTATCCACGGAATTGGGTGGCGCGGGTGCCACGAATAACCAAAATCGCGGGTAATCCGAAAAAGGCTAAAACCAAGTATAGCAAAAGAGAAAACAGTCATTCCAACTTTAAAAAATCGTTTTATGTACAATAAAATGTAAAATAAACAGCAGAAAATGTTTAACTAACGCTTAATATTTTACTATATCACTCAAAACTAACCTAAAATGCATTTTGTTAATGAAAACAGAAAAGTGCTTTGTACTTACAAGAGGCGTCAAGGATACACAGAAAAATTAATACATATGTACTGTTTTAATACTGTAATGTATTATGTAATTACAAAAGCATAACTGTAAAACTACACTTTTTTGAAGAAATCAGTCATTTGTGTTTGTTTCTTGCTTTGGAAGCATTTTCTCTTGATCCGAGATAGCATTTTTCGTAGCATAAGTTTCTCGGCCAACTCCGCATCGTCTTGTTCTTCCAAATAGCTCAGCAGTCCGTCCACTTGTTGCAAAGCTGCTTTGTGAGTCTTCCGCATCTGCACAGTGAGCTCTTCTTCGCCTTCACTTCACTCTCCTTCATTCTTGGTCTCTCCCCTTGCTTTCTTCACAATTTCGTCATCTGTTAAGCATTCGAAGCCAGGTTCATTGACGTCACACTCCAACCACTTGTTAATGTTTTCAGCATCGAGGTTCTCACTACCCAGAACTGATTTTACCATATCGGCAAGAGTTTCCGTGGGCATGTTTACATCTTCATTTTCTTCTTCACAACTCAAAGGGGTTAGGTTGTTGTTTGGCTTCAACATTAGGAATGAGCTTTCTCCATGATTTTATGAGGGTTGATGGTTTCACTGAGTCCCATGCAGATGCAATATCGTAGATGTTGTCCAAGATTGTGTAGTGTTTCCAAAACTCTTTCAGATCATAACCTTCTTCAATTTTGGTCATTAGCAGCTTGGTTCGGTATGTTCTCTTCATTGTTGCAATGACTCCTTGGTCCATGGGTTGGATTAGTGCAGTAACGTTTGGGGGAGAAACTTTGCAAAAATTTGTCCATCAGAAAACTTTAGCACGCTTGTTGCTGGGTGAGAAGGTGCATTGTCGATCAATAGCACAGCTTTTTCAGGCAGGTTTTTCGATTTAAGATGTTTAGGCACATGAACAAAGATTGTTTCGAACCATTCTTGAAAAATGTTTCGGTTCATCCATCCATTTTTTTTGGTTAAAGTAATCAACGAGCAAATTTTCTATTCTTGTGCCTTTGAAAGATCTCGTAGATCTCGTTTTTTTTTTTTTTTTTTTTTTTTTTTTTTTTTTTTTTACTTTCCAATGACAACAAGTCTAAGTTTATGTCCACCAGTAGCATTACTGCAAGACATGATAGTGCTTTCTTTATGACCTGCCGCTTTACTTTCACTTTCAAATGCTAAAGTGCGGGTGGAAAGACATTTCCACAAAAGTCCCGATTCGTCGGCATTGTAAATTTGTTCAAAAGATATCTCTTCTTTTAAAACAAATTCTTCAAATTCATGAGGGCCCATCAGCGGCCGAGCGGTAAAGTCGCTGAACACTGGTAGTTCGGTCCGAGGTTCGAATCCCGCGAACGGGCTGGCTGCATGGGTGTTTTCGTGGTTTTCCCCATGTGTAACGTGTATACGAGCCAGTTTCCCTTAGAAAGTCCTCCACGAAAGGCATCCCTCCCCTTAGGCAGATAGCCCTCGTGTGCTTTGCCATAATTAAATACACCAACACCAACACCATCTTCAAATTCATGGTGGAAATTGTCGGCTGCTTGTTGGTCACCACTAAGTTTCTCCCCATGAAGTCCAATTTCTCGAATTCCATATCACTGCTTGAAACGAGTCAACCAGCCAGAAGACGCATCAAAATTTCCTTTCAGGCTTAACAACTCAAAAAAGGTTTTTGCCTTCGCTGCAATGATAGGACCATTTACAGGAGTACCCTCTTTTCGAACTTGAGCTAACCACTCTATCAATGCTGTGTCTATCTCATCAAAGGTAGAACCCTTCATAGTTTTTCACGTTTTCATTGTGGAAGCACTGTCCGACGTTGATGCAAAGTTCAGAAGTTTGTCTTTTTGCTTTAGAATGTCACACACTGTTGTTTCCGCGATTCCTTAATCCAATTCCATCTGCTGCCTTGTAGCGCCGTTTGCTACTTTGGAAATTAATTCTAGTTTTTGCGCAATTGTCAACACAACCTTCTTTCGTTTTCCGGTTTTAAATCGGTAATGAAAAACACAAAACCAAAAAGCACAAGCAATGAACACAATAAAAGATAAGAAATTAACTCCGACCGGTTCACAAACACTATCAGGCATAACTTACAATGGTGAATGGGAGGAAGTGAAAGTGTCAGTAAGATTAAGACGAGAGAGGGTGGTGGAGCGGGCACTGCAGGGGTGAGTAAGAAATCATTTACTCATCAGAAGGGAAGGTTCCGAGAAGGCCTGGGATATTTTTGTATAAATAAGCACGATGTTAGCAAATTTAACGTTTCGCTCAGTTTTGTGAACATTTTTATTTCCTTTGTTTTACGCTTGGGGGAAAAAAAAACTTTGTGCGGCAGGCGCGGATAATTTACCTGCAGATAATCAGGAGTCTACTGTATTTAAAAGAATTTTGTGTTTATTAATTAGTCTTAATATGATACTACATTTTAAGAAAATATATGTTGATTGTAATTTGTTAGTATAAAGTGTTGTTTTTAGCTTGAACACCAGACTGAGTCATATTATAGAAATATTGTTACTTTGAACCCCCATTCCCTAAATTTTACCTGTATGCATGTTGTATTGATAAAAAATATGTAAGTATATGGATTATAGAGCCATTTTCATAATGAATAATTTTTGTAATATTTAGGTGATAGCTCTAGAGAAGCAACTCCATCCAAAAGCCCCAGGTAATTTTTTTAAGGAGATCTTTAAAATTTGAACCAAAATTACCATTTTTAAAAATATTTAATTCTAATTTTGAAGACTGTGGTTTTAATCTTGTATAATTCAAAATAAATTAATAAATTAACCAACATTATTATTATTAGGTGAGTAATTTAATATTTAACAGAATTTCCTTTGACTGTGGTTTTAATCTTGTATAATTCAAAATAAATTAATAAATTAACCAACATTATTATTATTAGGTGAGTAATTTAATATTTAACAGAATTTCCTTTGATCATAATTAAACTTTCATTCAGAAAAAGCTGGCTACTCTTATCTCACGCATATCATAGCATGAATCTTAACCTTTTAGAAGAGGAAGAAGATGAACTAGCGCTTGCAGAACTCATAGCATGTAGAAAGTTCACAGTTATGATGTATTTTCATCACCTCATAGCTGAGTACATTTTTAATATAATATATAGTGTCTTATTTTGTTCATTAACATCATAATATTTACTTTATTTTTGAGGAAAAAATTTCAAAATAGTAGTCTTCTTTATCTTTTTTTAATTGAAAGCAGTTAATATTCAAATGCTTTTTGTTTTGGGAAAAAAAAATGAAAATTTTTTGCTTTAGCTATTTTCAGTTATGAAAATGTTTTGAAAGCCCCAAAGAGCTTATATTTACTTTAGTACCAAAAATATTAAAATCCTGAATATTATGTACTGTACTTTTTTGAATATTTAGTTTGTCTGATGATTCCTAAACTGAATAACAGGGATTTTCAGCAGCAGCTTCTTTTTATAGGTCTATGTTTACAGAGCATAGTTGTCCAGAGTGAGCATCATCTTTGAGGCCAAAATTGCCATTCTTAAACTTCTCAAACCACCTATGAACTTTGTCATCAGAAACAGCAGTTTGTTCATATGTAGCACAAAATTTAAGAGAAGACTGACTAGCATTCCCTTCTTTAAAAAATAAATAAATAAATAAATAAATAAAAGAGAAAAATACAACAAAAATAGACTTTTGGATTCTCGAATCTTACTGAAACAAAACTGCCATGAAACAAAATTTATGGCAAACACATGCTAGGATGGTTTGTCCGGAAAGTAGTAGGACTGCAGGAGATCTTAGTTACTAGTCACCAGTCATCTCAAAGCCTTCACGGAGTGTAGATCAAGTTTAAGGTGAACTTCTTTCAAGGTACCTTATGATCTCCACAATGAATCGTTTGTTAGAGCAGCATTATGCATGAAGTTTGCATCAAACTGGGTAAAACTGTGAATGAGACCCATGAGATGATCAAGCCTGCTTATGGAAGAGATGCCATGGGTCGATTAAGTGTTTTTGAGTGGTACAAACTGTTTCGGGAGGGAAGAGACCAGGTTGAAGATAATTAATGGTAAGGATGGCCTTCAATGGCAAAATGCGATGAAAACTTACTGGAAGTGGGAAATCTTTTGAACTGTGACCGCAGATTGAGTATGCAGATGATATCAGAACATTAAATAATAATTAGAAGAACAATTAAACTTGCAAAAAACTATTATGCACAAAATCGTAACCCAAAACTTCAGAATGAGAAAATTTTTTGCTGATTGTACTAACTGATGAACAAAAACAAAGATGCCTGCTTTGTGATTAGTGAAGAACTTCTTGATTGTGTTTGTGACAATGTTATCACCAGAGATAAGTTGTGGATTTTTTAGTATGACCCCGTGACAAAGTTCCTGAATGGCACACTCCCCGCCTCGCATCGCCCCAAAATTAAACCTTCATGAGCAAGTCTAAAATGAAATTGATGTTCAGCATCTTTTTTGACTGCAAAGGAATGTCTCACAGAGAGTTTGTACTGCTTGGCTAGATTGTGAATGCTGCATTCTACATGAAAGTACTTGAAAGAAAACAAGTCCATTGCATCCATCCAGCAGTCACTGGATCATTGAGGCTCCATCACGACAATGTGTCGAGCCACATCACCTTTGCTGACATGGACTACCTGACCAAATGTGGCATCAGCTTCAACAGCCAACCTACAGCCTGGATGTTGCTCATTCAGACTTCTTCCTGTTCTCCCGACTTGAAAAGGATCATGAAAGAATGGCATCACAGCTCGGTCCTGACACTTCCTAGGCGCGCAATGAATTGGAAGTTAATCTCTCAGCACTATCCTTATCTTCAGGGCAGATGTTTCTATTTTATTTGGCTTATAATTCCGTACTAAATGTAGTATTTCATCTCGATGTACTCTGTCTTTGATATGATTTAAATCAAATTCCTCGTCATTATAATTCGCTTCCGATAGTGAAGAAAGTGACACAGAGGTTATTGAAAACGAAAAAATTTCGATTGACAAATTGGTCGGTATTCTCGACACAGCAATTATAGGACTTCAACAGCGGAACTTTGTAACTGAAGAAGAAATTATGTCTGTTTATAGAATTAAAGAGAAAGTATTATCACATAAAACGAAGCAACTTAAACAACGTACACCGAAAGAAATGTTTAATAAAGTAAACAAATAAATATTAAGCCTTTTTTTTTTTTTTTTTTTTTTTTTTTTTTTGTAAATTTTGATACCCTTTAGATCATAATTGTTCTTTATTTCATAAATTATGGTTTCATATTTTTAATTTTATAATTTCTGCATGCCATCTTACCAGATTTACACTGATGATCCATAATCCGGAATTGCCGAAGTCCCGACGAGTCCAGATTAACGACTTTTGACTGTAGTTGAATGTTTTACTTTTGATACTAGAATCTTTTTCTTAACATTTTTATCTTCCTTTTATTTTCTCTACTTTTCACTAGACACAAGCATGGAAAATATAAAAAAACGCTTCTAATCTTATCATATGGACAGGCACTATATAAAAGAAGTTTTTTATTAATAAAGAAATTGAAAACTGACAATTTAAAAGATATCTAATACAGAACAAAGTCCGTAATCCGGACTTGTCGGGACTTCGGCGATTCTGGTTTAAGGGTTTTTCCAGATTATAGATCATCAATTTAAATCTGGTAAGATGGCATGCAGAAATTATACAATTAAAAATATGAAACCGTAATTTATAAAATAAAGAGCAATTATGATCTAAAGGGTATCAAAATTTACAAAAAAAAAAGTTTAATATTTATTTGTTTACTTTATTAATTGTTTCTTTCAATGTAAGTTGTTTAAGTTGCTTCGTTTTTTGTGCTAAACGCGCATGCATAGCGTAAGCGCATTACGCACATGCATGAAGCATACAAAAATAAAAAAGTTTGTGGCTTTGAGGTCTGGATTATAGATCATTCCGAATGATGGACGTCCAGATTACAGACTTTGTACTGCATGTCTTAATGCATCACTAGGCACTAGCTGGCACTATGCATTTTCCCACCTGATGCAGTCTGTGGATCTTAAATTCTGCTGCTTGGTGCCTTTCTAAATTCTGCTTCCAATGCCTGTTCTAAATTCTAAAAGTTTTGCCATTTCTAGATTTTGTTGCTTGGTGTGTCACTAAATTCTGAAAATTATGCCACACCAGCTCTGTAACCGGACCTTACCATATATATTTCACATTTCTTCTGAATTTTCATATTACTAGAGAAATAAAATTAGCAGCTTTTTCTATACATTCTAAATGCATTTATTTTTTTTAGAATAACAGAAATGTTTAATTAAATTAAAAAAATTCTAAAATGAAAAGAAAACGTGGAAGAAAGAAACTGAATACATAAAGAGAAAGAAAATTGTTTTTCAAAGATATGTACAGTTATTACTATGTAAATTTCCCAGTTGTTTACAATTTTAGCCTTTACTATAAAGTGAAATAAAATTGACCACTAGTCCATATTTTTAGTTTGAATTTCACTCTTGTTCAATTACATCACCACGAGCTGTAATTGACTTTGTTAACCTAAGAAAATGCCTTTATATATAAGTTCTTTTTAAATAAAAAGTTTATTTAAAACTGTCTGACTTTGTAGTTGCTTTCAGACATAGCGATAATTTGCTTCACATCTGATGGAGGGTTTTGGACTATTTAACTTTTACCAGCTCAAGTAAAACCCTCATAGGTACATTGTGGAGAGGTTGACAGAGTTAGGAAATAAAACACTCAGAAACTAGTAAGAACTTTTTTTTTTTTCATACTGAGACAAATTTCTAATTGCTAGAAAAAGTGCTTAAATAGAAGGAAATCTATATAAATTAGCCAAAATGTCTGGGAAGCCTTCAAATTAAAAAGATGCATAAATATTTTGTCGAGTGTTGTTGCTACAAAACATAAATGGTTTGTAGCTTTTAATGGGTAATTATCCTAATATCATTTAAGAATCAATGTCATAAATTACATATATTTTAAACTGTGAAATTTTATTAGATTGTGATTTTAATAGGACTTTTTTAACAAATGTTGTTAAAAAATAAATAAGATTTAATAGTGGCTATGTAAATCCATAATGACTAAGGTTATATAATACCCAATTTAATAACTATAACTAACTGCTTACCCTTAAAAATTATCTCTGCATATTAAAGTGGGTTATTGCCTTTTATTAACCCTTACTGTGGTCACAAGATAAAACACAAAAAATGTAAAAAATTCATGTAAAACTTATTCTTCACATCTAGTGAGACTTAAAATAATGCAAAACAACTTATCACCTCTGGTACTTTAGTGAATTATTAGAACCTTAAACTATATTAACTGAGTTACACCCCCTGGAACTCTACGCGAAGTTACGACACTAACTCGTCAAACAAGAACTCAGCTATCTTTCAAAACTTGCCTACCGTGCTTATATCAGTCCTTTAAGGTTTGTTCTGATCAGCAGATCTCTCCCTAGGCAAGCAAGAGTGGTGGCAACAGCCAGTGTCTTGTTTTGAATCATGGTGATTATGATTTTAGTTCTCATTTTAACCTGTCCCGCTTGACATAAAATCTACTTACTATTTTCTAAACCTCTAGACTGAGCAAGTATGTGACAAAATGAAACAAAAAAAAAAAAAAAAAAAAAAAAGCTAACTGTTAGTAAAGCCTAAATAAAATGTCACTTATCTTTCAAGTATGTCCAATTATTATAAGTACACTCAAAAGTCATTAATTCGGACACCCATAATCCGGAATGATCTATAATACGGACCTCAAAGCTACAAACTTTCTGCGCATGCGTCGCATTGACGCATGCACGTAAGTCCTTTACGGCTGCGAATATGCGTGTGCGCGTGCGCAAAATAAGTTTACGAGTGCACGTTTAATGTATAACGAACAGTATAAGCTAAGCTAAAATTATCTAATTCAGTTAATGTTGCAGATTGCGTTGTTCCTTAATCTTCGAATTGTATTCGCCTTATTACTTTTTGCAGACTGTTAGAGCAATTTTATAAGAGTAAGCTTGAACTTTTGATTATGTCAAATAGAATTTCTGATATATATTTACTAATATGTAAAAAATCTACAAAGTATGTTTCAAAGTCTATTAAAGAAAAAGTGGAATTGCTGCAAAAGATGGATAAAGGCATATCCTTTGTTTATCTAAACTTTGTTTATCTTTAACGCTGCGGCGCGCAATGAATTGGAAGTTGATCTGTCAACACTATCCTTGTCTTCAGGGCAGATGTTTTTATTTTATTTGGCTTATAATTCCTTACTAAATGTAGTATTTCATCTCGATTTACTCCGTCTTTGATATGATTTAAATCAAATTCCTCGTCATTATAATTCGCTTCCGATAGCGAAGAAAGTGACAGAGGTTATAGAAAACGAAAAAATTTCGATTGACAAATTAGTCGGTATTCTCAACACAGCAATTATATTATACTTAATTTCAGTGTGGAGAAATGCGTACAAACCCTGTATTACTTTCTGGACAAACCCTGTACACAACATGACCAGAAAGGACTATATTTTTAAATATTCATTTTGATCAAGGTCATTCCTTAGCAGCAGCAACAAAATAATTAGAAGAAAATCCTCTTTAATTTGAAAAACAGCGGAACTTTTTGGCTAACTCAATATATGCTATGCAAATTGAAACTGGAATCAATGAACAAATATCGAGATATCAGAGTTGAAATTTTGAACTTTCATCTCCACTGCCCCCTGTATTGAATAAAAATTTCTTCTAAGGTTGATAATGAAATTGTTTTATTTGATTTTAGTGCAAATTAATCATAAAAGTAATTTTTTTCCAAAATAAACAAGATTAATTTTATTTCTTTATTTAAAATGCTATGATTGATTATGATATATTAAATTCTATTAATTTATTTTCTTCTCATTATCATCTGAGTGGTCTGTGCTAAATAGTGAGTTGTAATGATCTAATAAGTAACTTGTGATAGTAAAGAGAAATATTACTTATGTTTCTTCTTTGTAATGTATCGTTTACCTATAGGGACATAAATATAACCTTTATATTTTAGCCGTCATGCCAGTGCAGGATCTCCTGCTCGTAAAGTTGCTAGCACAAGTAGTGCGGATAGAACTTCAAGGCCTAAATTTAAAAAAGAAGTTTTTAAGTAAGTACATTTTCATTTATTTCATCTGTTTTTCAGCTTGAAAAGGTGGCTATTTTGTTGTCATTTCAAAATTACCGCATAGGGTTAAGCATAGTATATTTCCTTAGTTTTATGAAATTTAGTTCTTGTATATATAACTTGTATAATAATGTATTTTTGAATGTGTATGTGTTTGTAATGAATTGAATGTACACAGGTTCAATGATAAGTTGATAAAATATATCTGGTTGTAACGAAAGATTTCCACAAAGAACATTCTTTAAAGTAAATAAAAAAGTCATGAAAGCATTACCTCTCTAGTGTGAGTAGTAATCACCACCCAAATCTGTGATTTTCTGCCAGTACTTTTATAGTTTTTCAAAGCCTTCTGCCCAGCAACTTGGTGGCCATGAGTCCAGAACTAGATCAACCTCATTTTGGATATCTTGTGCAGAATGGAAGGCAGGACCAGCATGATGTAGCTGCAGGTGTGAAAAAAGGAAGGTAATGTAACATAAAAAATCTAGAGAGACAAGCTATGCAGAAAAAATAAGAATACAGGTGCAAGTCTATTTAACATTGAGTAAATTAACTCTCTCACTAATTAGGCGACAAAATTTAGTCGCCAAAACCGTTGTCAGTCTCACCATCTAGCGAGATAATTATTTAATATTAAATAGACTTTCTCCTGTATTCTTATTTGTCCAACATAGCTTGTCTATCTAAATTTTTCATGTTATATTACACAGAAAAATACAAGTTTCATATATCATTGAACAAAAATCATCTATCTATGTACAAAATTCGTAACAATATTTATATTAAATAAGTATAATGAAATTTCTACCATTGCCTTAATTAGAAAGATATAAAGATCTCATAAAACAATTCATATTTATTTTTATACTGAATATGCAGATATAAAATTTATTTAAAATATTCAAATTTATTTTGGACAATTCAAATAACTGCAAAAATATTTTTAATTAAATGTATTACTTCTTGAAATTGATTGAGACTTCTTGAAAACTAAAGCATTTATTATATTTAATAAAAGTAGAATTTACATTAAATAGCTAATGCAACTGATTTTTCTGTAACTAATTTAATATTTTGCTGAATTTGTATTGACTACTGGTGTTTTATAGATATATTCATAAATTAGAATGGTTTGAATGCATAAAGAATGCCCTGCACTATGAGATCTTATTCTGTTACACTCCTGAAATAGCTTCAGGTTCCTTTCCAGTCAATTTGGGCATTAGAGTGATTGAATTTTTAAACCACACAGAGAGAAATAATTTGAATAGTCTAATTCTTTATTTTTCATCAACTTTAATCTGTAGCATTTGAAGAAGGTTCATATTTGAACTAATATTTTAATTGTATAATGTGATGTCAAGGTATTTCTTCAAATAATTTTAAAATGAGCTTTTATAACTTCCTTTAGTAAAACATTTATATTGTGTGGGTGTTGGTTCATAAAGATTGAATTCACACAGAACCGACAATAAGTTGATAAAATTTATTTTACTAAAAGAAACAATTTGCAGTTTTGAAAATTTTGACAAAATTAATCATGCAGCTCTTCACAGTATCGCAGAGTAGAGTCAATAATTACAGTGTGAACTTCTAAGAACTTTAGACACAATGCAATGCAAAGCACATCTAAAGAGGAAGCTTACACAGTGATATCTCAATATTCCAAGCTTATACTGAACAAAACAATTGACGCGGCTCACAATGAATTGGAAGTTAATTTGTCAGCACTATCCTTATCTTCAGGGCAGATGTTTTTATTTGATTTGGCTCATAATTCCTTACTAAATGTAGTATTTCATCTCAATGTACTCCGTCTTTGATTGATTTAAATCAGATTCCTCGTCATTATAATTTGCTTCCGATAAAGAAGAAAGTGACACAGAGGTTATTGAAAACGAAAAAATTTCGATTGACAAATTAGTCGGTATTCTCGACACAGCAATTATAGGACTTGAACAGCGGAACTTTGTAACTGAACAAGAAATTATGTCTGTTTATAGAATTAAAGAGAAAGTATTATCACATAAAACGAAGCAACTTAAACAACTTACATTGAAAGAAATGTTTAATAAAGTAAACAAATAATTATTAAGCTTTTTTTTTCGTAAATTTTGATACCCTTTAGAACATAATTGTTCTTTATTTCATAAATTACGGTTTCATATTTTTAATTTTATAATTTCTGCATGCCATCTTACCAGATTTAAACTGATGATCTATAGTCCGGAAAAATGGATAATCCAGAATCGCCGAAGTCCTGACGAGTCCAGATTAACGACTTTTGACTGTACATCATTACTGAAATTTTATAATTCTTACATACTCAGTGATCTGCTTGTAAAGACAGATGGGCTTGAAAGAATATCCTCCAGCTTTCAAAATCTCAAATGTTCATTTAATTGATTATGAAAAAGGCACACGAGGATTACTATAGACATCTCAAAGGTAACTGTTCTTATCATGAAAGTCTCACTTGTTACGAAATGACACAAACAACTAAACACTGATAGCTAGTCAAAAGTTTTGCTAAAGTCTAAGAGATTAATTGTATGCTTTTCATCCATGAAGGCATTCCTCCATTTAAGAAGGTAGCCTTCTTGTACTAAGCGATAACAACTGTAAGGTTTGAACATGAATGACTAGAATTTTTATAAGATTAATGCATAATATTTTGCTGATTGGTATTTTTTCTTAATGGAAGGTATAAAAAAAGTAAAATTTATTTTATCAAAACTATCCTATTCTGATATCTAATTGTCTTTTAATTATTCTGAAAAACTCTGTAACTGGAAAAATGTATCATAGATGAGCATTCAAGTCGATAAAGCTAAGAAATCAGTTTTAGTGTAAACATATTATATAGCAAAAGGTACAGTGTGAAGAAAATATGTTTTGTGCAAATAAATTGGATGTATTTTCTCATTCAATTTATTATTTAGGAAAAATATAAAACAGTATGTGAAATATCAGACAATAAACACTATCTGAAATTTCGCTTGAAAGTGAAGGGAAAAAAAAAAAAAAAAAAAAAAAAAAAACTTTCTTGTATATTCTTTAATTTGTTTCTTGAATTATTTTTGTTTAAAGATTTAGCTAGAATTTCAAATATTTTGAAAATTTTCAATAACTGGAAAATGAAATATTACTGAAGATGGTTGTCTAAACAGACATATTTTTGAGACATTAAATTTCAGATCTGAGTACTCCATTTACTATAATTGCAATCATAAATACATTTTATAGTGACAAAAACCACGTGGGCTTCTATCAATGTGTGCATTCATTAGTGTGGGTATTTGTTGTGTGAGCAATAATCACAGTAAGGATTTTTTTGTGGTCTTTCGTTATGTGAGCTTTCATCCAGTGGGCTTTTGTGAAGGTGTTTCCTTCACAAATTATTTACACCATTATTTCATAAATTTTTTACACCATTATTTCATCTGCAATGCGAATGTTCTTATTCAGCCACTGTTCAGAATTGTGAAAAAGGATTCTAAGTTTATTTATATTCTCATCTGAATTGCACATTCATTTTTCCTCCCTCTTTTCACTAAGCAAGCATGTACTTAATAGCTTTGCAGCTTTTATCTATTATTTAAAAATGGGATATGTGTATATTAAATTATGGGGCACTTGTAGTACCTATAGTGCTGTGCAAGCCAAAAAGAGTTATCTTAAAATATGTCCAAGAAATTATTCACCAAGAAATAAAATGGTATTCTGACCCTCAAACTAGTTGTGTTTTCCAAAGTTCCAGTTATCTAATATGCAATCTGTATTTCAGCTACCTCTATCACCATCCCAACTACGACTGCAAAATAATTGGTGCCTTCTCTAGTGAGTTGTATTATCCAACAACAAAATTATAACACGTACATATGTCAGATATAAAAATATCATGGAAATTTATTAACAAATTAAACTTAATTGGAACAAATTGACTCTTCATGTAATCATAGTCAATCATTTCAGTCATCAAAACTTTGAATTGTAATTTTCAACTAAAGCAACGTGCATTTTCTCTGCAGTATCTCCATTACTGTACATTTTTGCCCAATTATTGCTGAGGATTAACACAAAGACTTTCACAGCTTATAAATATTACTGTAATTATTATTTATCACTTTTTTACCTGCTGCTGCCTAGGAAAGTCATGTCTCTTTGCTAAGCTTCTTTTCCTACTTTCTAATTTTTTTTTTTTTTTTCATATATAAAAATCATGAAGTGTGTTCAGCAGCCCTAGTGTTGTATAAAATAAGCAAAAATCTATTTATCAATAGTTCTTCCTGTTCAAAATAAAAATGATGTTTTAACCATCAAACCAGTTGTGATTTTCCCTTCGTCGCATCTACATGGTATTTTTCCTGTCTAAAAGGTGATTGGTTTCATCTTTTCTAGGCAATTCTCTAATAAGTTCCATCCAAACACCAATGAATAAATTATCTTAATGTTTTTATGGTAAAGATCCATATTTTTATAGAGCACAAAGTCCGAGATCCAGACTCGTAGGGCGATTCCGGATTTGGAATTTTTCCAGATATTAGATCATCATTTTAAATCTAGTAAAACGGTCATGAAGAAATTATAAAATTAAAAATATGAAATCATGATTATGAAATAGTGAAGCATTTATGATCTGAAAGGTATCAAAATTTACCAAAAAAAAAAAAAAAAAAAAGCTTTATATTTATTTGTTTGCTTTATTAAACATTTCATTCAATGTAAATTGTTTAAGTTGCTTCGTTTTTTGTGCTAATACTTTCTCTTCAATTCTATAGAAAAACATAGTTTCTTGTTCAGTTACAAACTTCCACTGTTCAAGTTCTGTAGTTACTGTTTTGAGAATTCCGACTAACTTGTCAATTGAATATTTTTTCATTTTCAATAACCTCTCTGTAACTTTCTTCACTATCAGCATTGGTATTTTCTGTACCTAGAACCATACTACAGGTTTCGCCATCCGTTAATTGTTTATTAAT